CAAATAACGGAACCGCCGCTTCCGACAGAGGAAATTCGGTTGAATTTTACGTTCACGGATTCAGATGATCCAACGATATTAATCGAGCCCCCACACCCCCCACCCCCCAAACAACAACACCCCCCCCCCCCAAAAAAAAAGAAACGTAAATCCCAATTGAAAAAGAAGGTTGGGTACGGTTCACTTACCATGGTTTGTTTATTGTGGGTGATGAGTATTGTAGTTTGTCGCTAACACCTGCCCCAATAAGTACATGTGAGATTTCACCCCTTAAACTAGAGGCGAGGTTCTACACTAATTTATTTCACTGTAATGTTCTTTCGTTCAATGGTCAATGTCCCCTGGCATGGTTTCTCAATCCAGCAATACATAACTCTACACCAGGCGAGATATTAACACTTTCCGTTTGCTGGGGCCCACTGAGAGAGAGGATACCATCGGAAAAACTGCACACGCCAACATCGCTTGGATGTTTATAATCATCCTCGAGCCGAATTTACCAGGAAATAAACATTTTAACAGGAGCAAAACGCAGCAGTTTTTTTTTCCCTCTCCTCCTCCAGCTCAGTAGCTCTGGCGTTGATGTATGTCTATTTTATTCAACAGTTAGCTTGTAAAATTCACATTGCCTTTCCCTGACAGTAAGATAAGAGTAAAAAAAAATTGGGCGAAGAAAAAAAATGAAATCCACAGAGATAACATTTATTTAATATTTTAATAGGTACCTGGGCTATAAACTTCATCATTTGTCTGTTTGTTGGCGTGTGAACTAAAATGACCAATTCAACATTCCTATGAAACCTGGACTAAATTCACACACAACACAGTGTCGCCTATATTATTCAAAATGGCACCAGTTTCAATCCAAAATGTTGACCTGCGGTATTTAAAGTAATAATACATATATTTATGTACGTTTTTGGAAAATTGTTTCGATGTTTTATTTTCTTTTTATCTAAAAAAAACAATTATCCCTCTAGTAGCTAAGCGTCTGTGGTTCAGATCTAATTATTGTGCTTTGAAGTATTCTCGGCTTGAATGGAATTAGCTTCACTCTCCTTGTCTTGTTCCATTTAAAATGAATTTGAACTTGGTACCAAGTTCGCCTCGCAAAAAAAATAAGTGCATCATGGAAGGAGAAAGCTAGGTTTCCTGCACTTCGCGCCCACCTCAAGTTTGATAGAGAGGCAGACATTAATTTATTGATTTTTATTTGGGACAAATATTCTCAATATCTAAAACGCCCTTTTATTTTATTTCGGGAAAAAAAACATTTTAATTCGGTTACTATTTTGGTATTTGAGCCAATTCGGCTTCCAGTGCCCTCTCATATAAGCAGTCAGACTGTGTTTTGGGACAATTTAGCGCATTATAAAGCCAATAGTACAAAGAGAGAGGGGGCCTTGCTTAGATACAACAGACAGACACAGTAATAAACCACTTCGAGGCTTGACTCAATGAATGATCAGTAATTTATATCATACCTCTCCAGCACATACTTGTTAATATCACTGCAGACTCACCAGAAATTCACAAAGTTACACCTATTTTCGCCTCCAACACCCCCCCGAAAGACAAAAACAATCTTATCTCCACAATCATTTGGGAGTGGGGTTAAATTTTGCAAAGCAATCAATAGTTCCCATGCACACAGGCATGGATGCAGTCAGACAGCCACACACACATTGAGATATGCATAGTCTCTCTCTCACCCATATACACACACACAGACACACACGCAGCGCGCAGTCGGATTTAAACCCATAGTTAGGCCACAATCCTGTATATGTCATTTTACAGAATACTAATTGCCAAACATTTCCCTTCTAAACCAAACAAAACCCCGAATTATTTGATGCCTGCCTTATTTAATTGAGGTTTTAAACGTGTTACGCAGAACGGTATAATTTCTTCGTGTCACAAAAGGAAACCAATTGATTTCACCAGCCAAGAGCGAGATTCGGTCAATGCTCAGTTAGGAACTCTCTTTTGTTTCTCGAAAAAAAACCATACACAAATTAAAAATTAAAAAGTGATGTGATTTTGCTCGATGGGAGAGAGAGAGAGAGAGAGGGGGTGGGGGGGGGGGGTGGGGCGGGGTGAGGTGGGGGCTGGGGTGTACGGTTTAGGACTTACAAATAAGTGGTTTAATGCGAGAATGTCGGCTTCCGTTTGTGATTGCCACCTAGGTATCTCTGTGTTTTGCCTGGTTTGTTTTTTTCCCTCCAACCCGCGAAGGGAACAAAAGAATTGTAACTTTGTAGGTCTCATTCAGCGTTTTATGGTAGTCGGAACGGTCAAATTCAAGGGTTTAGACTTCCCCCCCAGCTGTCCTCTCCCTCTCTCTTTGTACTTGCTAGCAGGAATGTAGCGGCGCGACCTTTCATAGACTGAACCCCACTCAAAAATGTAATCCAGGCGCCGTAAATGCCCATTCCCGCCTTGCAGCAACTTTTATTCATATTTTTGAGGTTGAGGTGGGGGGTAGGTTGTAAAGGGAGGAGGGATGGGGGAAGAAATGGAGAATCTAGTTCGGTGCCCAGATGCTCTAACCTCTCTCGTCACAAATAACAAGGTAAATTATTCTTCAGGGGAAGAGGAGAAAATGCGCCTAAATTTTGTGAAAGTTTTGCCCGCCTTTCCCGTGGACTTGGCCTGTCCCGCAGTGTTGAAACACCAATCTCTCTTTCTCTCTGTCTGTATATATATATATATATATATATATATATTCTCATCGCATTGCTCTGTTTAATCTGATACACGTTCCATTTGTGTTTACATAGATGACGAAGTCAGGTCCCGTCTTTCGATTTAAGGATGGATGAAAAATACGTTTTAACCTACTAATTATATATTTATATATATATATATATTGGTCAGCCGGGTGACTGACACATGCGGAAACCCATCACCATGCTTAAGAATGTCCAAACCAAACTGAAATTTCAATCCCGCCTACGCATATGAATATCTCAATGTACAAAATAATTCTGCAACGTGTAGCCGAGAGATTACTTCACTTTACTGTAACAAAACATTATGACAAACGTGTTCATTGCATCATTTACCGATGCTTTGGAATAACTCGCCTCCAGCGATTCGAACCATCCTGTATAAATCTCGCCATTTGAATTCTATTCATTTTTATTTTTTCGTGCAATTCAAGCAACGCTTCATCTTTTTTCAGAACGATTTGAAAACTCAAGACTTTCTTCTCGTGATATTTTGAAATACTGTATTTAAACACGATTGTTTAATTTAACTGAACAATGTTTATGGGGTTTGTTGGGGGGAGGGTAAATGGAATGTTTACTACATATAAAATTTTTACACATGGAAAATAAAATATCTATTCTTTAAACTCCTTTTCTGTTGTTTCTTTAATAATAACCAGATATTGAAGACACAAGGAAAATAAAATAACGTTGACTGGTTTGGGTTATAGTGTATAAAACGTGTTTAATGTGTTTTTGTGAAAGCAGTAAATAGTGGAATAGATTGGAACATAAACCACACAAAGCACAAGTTCAGTTGGGATGAAAAAACAATTCATTTGAACTCCAACAAAAGGCACATCATTTGGGCTCTTCCCCTCAGTTGGTGCAAAATCGTATCTTCCACTCGGGGATATATATTGGGCTCTCGATCCATAAAATCAGACACTTACACAAAATCTATATCCACCATTCCAGTTTATTTAGAAAGCGGTTTCAGTGGTCTAGCAGTGAAATCCATACATTTTTTTTATTTTCAATGCATACAGGTTCTGAGGCCAAACGACATTCCAGCTCTATCTCAATAACATCCAATGCTTTCTGCAGTGGGCTGGGCTGGAACCCTACAATAATAACATACTTCACTGTCCAATCTCTTTTCACGTTATACTTGCACATTGCAGATGCATTAAATGTAGTCAACAGAGCCGCGAGCTCCTGTATTCCAGTCGGGGTGATTTAGTAGCGCGGCCGTCAATAAATATATTGTTTCTCTGACTTTCAGATAAGTTTTAATATATACATACACAGACCATTTCGTGCATTCATTCGCGTTATAAAACGTCCCGATATGATCTTGTGAATTTAGCCGAGGTTTAATTCGTTGTGATTTTTTTTCATAGATCATGAGCTCAAATTACTTGAAATATTTTCTCCAGTTGGAGGAGGAAAAATACGCACACGCACACACACTCACACACAAAGCGTGGCATTATTATGTTCCATTTGAATCCGTTAAACTTTTAAAGCACCATGTGAGCTGGATTCCCGAGTTCATTTAGAAATCTATGATAATTGAAATTTCGTCCTGGTATCTGAAAACAAAACGAAACAGATACATCCAGTGACTTTACTGATTATTAAAAAGTGCTATGCGAGTAATATTGCTGTTCTCTCAACATAAAATATTTTTAGAAAAATTATTGATCACTCACTGAAGTTTTGTTACACATTTATTTATTGAACTGCGTTCCAAAGCATTTAAAAATCCAATTCTGTTCTCTGTAGAATAAATATTTAACAAACATCGAGCAAAGTTTATGAATATTTATTGAGTATTGACTCGTAAACGAACTTAACTCCATTCATATACAGACATATATTGACCATGTAATTACTGTTTTTGCTAGATTTGTTTTATTTAACCTTTTAAAAAATATTTTCGACCAGCGAAGATGCCAGACTGCGATTTATAAAACCAGCGATTCACTCCATTAAAAAAAATATTTTTGCATCCTAGTTGGAAAAAAATATCCCCCCCCCACCCCCCACCCCCCTATAAATATTGGAAACCTCTGAAAGGGAAAGGAAACCCGGAGATTGTTTTACTTTTCTTTTTTTTTAAAAAGTGCATAGGGTTCGAAAAATATATATTGGAAAAAAGTTTTCTTGAAAAAAATGCAATTGATTTTCCTAATGTTCCTGCGGTTGAAACCAATCGTTTGAACCCCAACATCTTACCTAACTGAACCACTCCTCCACTTCTAAGTGCTTTGCAATTGATATATGACAATATCTACTTCAGATCACGTGCTTAGGACCGACTAAGACGGATAGCGCGTCATCTAGCCTTCCCAAATTTTTCCCCTCTGCTGATCGCATCCAAAACATCTAGAGCAGGGAAAAGAAGAGAGATGTTTAACTCTATGAACCTGGGAAACTTCTGCTCCCAAACGCGGAAGGAAAGGACAGCCGAATTTGCCGATCGAGGCAGCTGCGGTGCTAACATGTACCTCCCGAGTTGTACTTACTATGTGCCCGAGTTTACCGCTATGTCAACGTTTTTACCACAGGCCACTTCTCGGCAAATAACGTATCCATATTCCACAAATTTATCTCAGGTTCAACCCGTTCGAGATGTATCTTACAGGGACTACGGGCTAGACCCTTCGAGTAAGTGGCATCATAGAACCAATTACACGTCTTGCTATTCGGCTGAAGACTTGATGCATAGAGATTGCATTCCGCCTTCGACCATGACAGAGTTGCTAATGAAAAATGAAAGCATCTACAATCACCATCCAAGCTCCAACCACGCACCCTCCGCCTTCTATGGCAATGTAGGCAAAAGTAGCGTCTTACCTCAAGGTTTCGACCGATTTTTCGAGACCAGTTACTGCAACGGGGCTGAGAGCCAGGCTACGGCCGAGAACTGCGTTCAGAAGGGCGACCGCAAGCTGGAGTCTATGGCCCAGCCAAGTGCATTGTCATCCGGCACAGACGAGGAGAGAACGACGGGGGACGAAAACACCATCTCGGCTGCTTCTTCCGGCAACAGAGCCGAAGGAAAGACTAGCAACTCGAGTAGGTAGAGCTGTAAATGAAAGGTTAACCCAACCAGCCCGGTGTTTTGTCGGTCAAATTTTATGTGAAGTTTTATAAGCATTGAAAGGATTTTATTATAACCTACAAAGTCCTCTCTTCCAATGCGAAGAATTTTTACGATGGGAAAGTGCTTTGAAAAAAAGAGCATTATACCCAGGCACATTTTCTAAGAGTCTGTGAAATTTAAAGAGTGCATTGTACTATCTTTGATCATAAAGTTGCAGGAACGTTTTTAAAGGGATTTTTCCCTCCCTTATGGTAGCAAGGAGTAAAAATCAATTGAGCAGAACACAAGCTGGAGGTTGCCCTCCGCTTGTTTGGCGGTGCATGCCATTTCCCTTTAAATCTGCTTGAAGATACGGTTTAAAAATCGGCAGAAAATCCCTTCTACAATGCTTTAGAAATTTAGTGAGCCCCCCCCCCCCCAACAAAAAAAAGAAACTGGGAATGAATGAATGTGTACCACATGGTTGTTACTAAAAAGAATGCATCAAGTATTAATGACGTGTCTTTTTTTTAATTTAAAATAGCTGTGTGTGTTTGTATGTTTTACGTCTGAAGAAAGTGGACAAAGTGGTAGTTCCGATTTTTTAAAAAAAATTCTTAACCTCTCTTTATTTAGGCGGGCCACGCACACGGAAAAAGAGGTGTCCATACACCAAATTCCAGATCAGAGAGCTTGAAAGGGAATTTTTCTTCAACGTTTACATAAACAAAGAGAAACGCCTTCAGTTGTCTCGGATGCTCAACCTCACTGATCGACAAGTCAAAATCTGGTTTCAGAACAGGAGGATGAAGGAAAAGAAACTGAACAGGGATCGATTGCAGTATTTCTCGGGGAATCCTTTGTTGTGAAGCTTAATCATTTTTTTTAAAAAAAGATCATTGATTTTAAAACAAAAATAGCGTCAAAAAAGAACATTACTGATGTGTTTTGCTTTCGAACGAGGGCTGTGTATCAGATTTCCAGATACATTTCTAACTAACCAATATTTCTTTTTTTTTCCATGAACAGAGAAAGCTTGAACTGTTCTCCCCCGGCTTGTGTGTTTTTTTTAAAAAATATTTAACATTGATCCGTGTGGATATGTGAAATACTTTGATATTTAGTATCTACTTATTATATTCACAATGTTTAAAAAAAACTCGTGTACATTATTACAGTATTTGATATTCTATTCTGACGTCCCTATATAATAATTAGACACAAATATGGTTCATATTATTATCCACCCTGAGAGCGAAATCTTTGGAATGTAAATGTATAAAGCAATTCGATAGGACTCCGAGTCATAAGGGTAGTTACTTTACAAAGCAACGTGTCTAGAAATGGGCATTTAAAAATAATCGACAGAATTTTTTTTTCTAGCTTGTTGCCTCGACTTTTCTTTTTTGTCAACGTTTTCCGGAAATGTAAATCTGTTTAACTTATTTTAGGGTTACAATATCAGAAAAAAAATTGCACAGAGGGAAACTGCATTTGCCCTGTGTAATGGGAAGTACTTCATATTTGCCTTCCACTGTGAACTTTTACGTTTCATTATATTTACAAATAAAAATGCTCGAAAATTGCTTAATTTGAGGAATATTTAATTTAAAAGGTTATTTGTGTGACTTAATCATCTTACAATAGGGACCCTGGATGGATCTTACTTGCCTGATGGAGGTATCGGATATTGAGATTTTAATATGCCAGACTCTGTTTCTGAAAGAGATTCGATACTTTTGTATAGTTTTTAAACTCTCAATGTGTGTGTGTGTGTGTGTGTGGGAGTGGGTGTGTAAAAAGAGAGGAACTCGGGCCAAGGCTACAGCGAGGGATGTTGTAAAATGATCACTGTTTTTTATCTTCTTTTTCTTTAAAAAAAATGCAATTTGCAACCGTTGTAAGTTGAAGACTTTGAAGCTTTTTTTAAAAAAAAGAACGATTTGGGTGAAATCGTGTTAGGCGATGCTTCCGTCAAACTGGTATATACCCTCAGCAAAATGACTTCAAATTGGCTTCTGTTTTATTCATTTGCAAACAAGAAACGTTATCTAATGGAAGGCGGGGTGTGGGGGTGGGGGACAAGCAATCTGGCGAAAAGAGAAATCTATGTTATAATGTGGGAGCATTTGATTAAATTAATGCAGAGCAGAGATTGCATTTCTGTCAGTTGCTTAGTGAGACTTGTGGTTTCAGTGTTGCCTTTTTTGCTTTCGCGACCAGTTGTTGGACCAGAAAACCTGATACTCAGGACTTTACGAAGCCTCAGATGTTGTTCACAATTCTTTATTTTGCCTCGCTGATGGCCGTAAGAGGCTATCGCATAGCATTTGAGGCCCAGGGGTGTTTAAGGAGAAGGGGGAAGCCAGTGTGCTCTAGAAATATTTATCCGCCATCCTCATTACAACGTATGTAGGTTGCATTTTGTGTGTGTGTGTGCTGAAGGTATTGGAACAAGGTAATTTTGATCTGTTCATGCCTCCAGTTAATGCCCCGTGACAGCCATTGTTGAGCTGAGAAAACGTGTTCAGTCTAGACAACATCATAAAGGAGGCTGCACTAAAGAGCTTAATTTTTCCTAATTGCATCGTCTGGTCACAGAGTTAGACTTCCGCTGTAAACAGTAAACAAATAAGACAGACTCCTCTCAATACCTAGTTTTTTTTAAGGAAAAAAAAGCTTTACTACTTAGTTCTGTTGAGTCGCAAGTAGGCAAGGGGGGGAGGGGGTGGGGTACAGGGCTAGTTCAAAGCTCTGCCCTAAATGAAATGTGTAAAAGTCACATTTATGGAGCACGTGGAAGTTTACAGGACTTTTATAAAGTAGTTCGAGAATTGGCTAATGGGGTAGGTTTTGTGTCCATGTGTGTATGTGGTAGTGGGGAGGATGGGGTTGGGGGGCGGGCGGGGGATAAGGCAAGGCTGAGATTTTTTTTAACAAGGGTTTGCGATGGAGATCAATTTGGAATAAGAACCAGTACCCCACATGAGATGGGGGAAGAATACGTTTTCATTTTATAGGACGGGATTGGAGCCCTAATAAAAAAAAGCAAATGACAATTCCGTACAAATCGGTAAATGTATACCGGCTTTGAACTTCATTGAAGTCAAGGTCATAGCCTTTAACCTTTTTGTAATAAAGTGCTATCACTTGGGCCTTGCGCCTTTATCCTCGCCTCCCCCTGGAAACTAAAGCGAGGCCAGCCACGTGTAAATTTTATATCAAATATTATTGAGCAACTGGTGTTTATTATATTTAACTTTTAAAATCAACTGCGGACGGTCTACGAGGTTTGGGAGTCTTTAACCTGTCTTGTAAAATGTATTTATTGGACTTTTAAAATCTTAATACTCGACTGGACCAGAGACTGTCTTTAAACGGGAGTGTACTTTCATTGATCGCTGACACGTGACGTTCCGAGCCGGGTCGTTCTGAACTGAGAGTGAGGAGTCGGTTTGTTTGCCCTCCGAATCCCGTTGTGAAGCTCCTTTCTCGGCTATAGGGGATTAGTCTATTAGTCTGACTGCTTCAAATACGGTGTGTGTGTGTGTGGTGGTGGTGGTGTGTGTGTGTGTGGGGGGGGGGGGGGGGGGGGGGGGGGAGGGGGGGAGTGGGGGTGGGGGGGGGGGTGGGTGGAGGGGGGTAGCTGTCTGGTGACACCTCCAGCCAACAACGAATACAAGCGCACAGAAGCGACCATATACACCCTTTGCGCATACAGTATGCATTATACACGCATGCTATATACACAGACTATATACACACATCATATACACACATTATATACACGCTATATGCACACATCATATGCTCACAAAGACACACCTCACATACACACACATGGACATGATATTGCACATAGCCAGACATGCATACATACATACATACACACACACACATACATACATACATACATACATACATACATCACATACATCACATACATACATACATACATACATACATACATACATACATACATACATACATACATACATACGTACGTACGTACGTACGTACGTACGTACATACATACATACATACATACATGCATACATACATACATACATACATACGTACAAACAAACATATTCACACACAAGCGCAGCTACACATACAACTCATATACACACATATATGCTCACATGGACATATATTTGCACATAACCAGACATCCACCATATACATATATACACAAATAGTTATACACAAACACACCTACACATATGTTCACGCACACAGAAATACAGGCATACACATACAAACAAGCACACAAGTGAACATACAGACACACACACAAACACACTCATATATAGACGTACAGAAAATCTCTTAAATTGTTTCTCAAACAAACTTCATCATTTGCTTGTCATATTTCCAGACACATTTATCAATGCGTTAATATTTAGAATGTGGAAACCAATTCCCAACGAGCGAGAGAAAGAGAGCAATGTAAACAGAATTTAACTCAGTAAGAAAGAAGAGAGGCGGACACAGAGAAGGAGGGGGAGAGGGTAATAGCACAGAAAGAAAGAGAGAGACCCTCGGCACCGGGAGAGAGGTCGAAGGAGACATTGTATGAGAGACAGACAAGACAGACAGACAGAGAGGGAGAGAGAGAAATCTGTCAAACACGCCACTGACACCCTAGTGACGTAGCTATCATAAAGTGTGGAATAGACACAGAGCGCTGTGATGAAATAATCATAAGCAGCGGATAGTGCGGCCGAGTCCTCTCAATGCACTTTCACTAAATACGGAGCAACAAAGCTTTGGGTTTGTTTATCTGTTTTCCCCCTCTTTGTTCTTTGTTGTTTTTTTGGAGGGAAGGAAGGGTGGGGGGGGGGAGGCAGAGAAGGAGCGGGACGTGTTACCATCGGGGCCGGGATGTTTGTCTGGAGTCTGGAATGCGATTATCTGGAGCAGGAATGCCACAGGATAACGACAATGGCATTGGCAAATGGACTTGGCGAGTTCTCGGTTCCAGCAGCGGGTCAAGACTGAAGATTAATTAGACAACCGTCCCCAGTCTCTATTCCCCTGTGACTTCTGTCTGTGCGTGTGTGTTGGTGTGTGCGCGTGTTTTTGCATTCAGAGCGAAACTTATGAGTTAAAGTTCGATTAGAAACAACAAATAGATTTTTTTAAAGAAAAACTAAAGTTATAAGGAGCTTACTGCCTGCAAATTTCCGAGGATAAATTATAAAAGTTGGAACGTTTCCAAGTTTAAGTGATCAGATGAGTCCCCTTCGTTTCTTTCAGCGATAACTTTATCTAATCCTAGTCTGTGTGTGTGGGTGTGCGTGTGTGTGTGTGGTGGGGGGGGGGGGGGGGGGGGGGGGGGGGGAGGTGTGTGTGTGTGTGAAAAACAAAACAGAAAACTGTTCTTGGCTTCGCTCCACTTAGTATCAGTTTCGATAAAGTTTCAAAAGAAGACAACCAAAGTAAAGTTAAGTAAAGTTCAAGGCGGTTTATTAAACCTATCGGTTTATTTCAGCCTGAAAAACGCGTTGGATAAAGTCAACAACACAGCGGCCACCATTCTCCATTTGCATCCACGCAACCAACCTTCTAGTTTGTTTTATATTCTGTGCAAATACCAGAACGTGGTGTACAAAATAGGATTAAAACTAAAAGGATCATTTTGCATCGAATTGTTGAAACGAGAGGGTAAATTTATTGTTTGTTTAAGACAATTGCTCGAAGCCTAAATCTGCATTTCTCTGTCCGATTAGTGTGGCGAGAGATTTCTGAATGTCGAGTTTTGAGTTTGCTGCTTCTCTTATTACATGTAACACAAACCATGTTGTTCTCCCACGATTAGAACAAATAGCGCCTGGCAGGAAATAAAATCGGTGGAGGAGAAACTTTATAAATGGAGACATAAGACAACGCTAATTTAACGTGAGGTATTTAAACTAGTCAGTGCTACTTATCGGGCATTGTTCTTTGTTAAGCGTGTGTTAGAGACAAAATAAAAGTAGAATCGTGGAAAAGTCTTACAGTTAAATAAAAACTGGCAGTGTATGAAGGCTTAATTTTTTTTAAAAAAGCATCAGAAAAAGATACAGATGTATATCTTAGTGTTTGTGTGCGGGAAGATACACAGACATGCAATGATATGATATACATACTGCATACGCACATATGTGTGAGGGTTCTCGCCCTGTGTTTTACATACATATGTGTACGCTTCGTCTTTACAAATATGCATGCATTTATATATTGTGTATCATATTAATGTGCGTATCTCTATGTATGTATAAGTGTACATATGTATACATTATATATCAACACTCGATGTGGTGTCTATATAGAGATTTGTTGGAGTCGTATAATAGTCCTGATTAAATATGTATTTTCAAAGTAATATTAGTTGGGTCTGAATTGTCTATCGCTTTCCTGTGGTTGACGAATTTCTCGATTATTTATTTCTTTCGAATCGATACCTCTTCCACCGCTGTCCTTTCACCCTTCCTTTGGTTTCTCAGCGAAGAAAATAATCATTGCTTTATCAAAAAAAAACTAAATGGAATAAAAACAAGGAATAATTTGCTGTAAAATAATAGCACATTTCTATATTTTGTTCTACATTTTTATATTAAAAAATAGGCCACCAAAAAACAAGATTTAGCTAATATTGTAAGACATTTGTAAAGTTGAAAATAAAAAAAAAGCGTTTATGATACATGCGATCGATTTATAGTGGCAGTTTATCGTAAATCCAAGCCGATTTTCCCAAAATTCATGAAAAATGTAGTTTATTTTCGGGTGAAGGAAAACATCGCGACAAACTCCGCTCCCAGTTCAGTTTAAAATCCATTTGTAAACCGACTGAGCGGATGTCTTAATGTATTCTGTGTTTATTATATGTTAAAGAAACTCGCCTCTTCGTCAAACGCTTCCTTTACATGTGAGATCCAACCTTCAAGAGGAGAATAAACAAATGTTAAAATAGTTGTTTAATTAATTCCCGTTTTCAACGCTTTATTTTGCTTTGTCTCCGCCAATGGCCGAGAGTCACCGGGTTCCAACACACGTTTTGAAGACATTTTAATAAAATATGATGGAAGGTATTTTCTCGGCGGTTCGCTGGTGGGTCAACGCTTAAAATAATATACCTTTGAGTCTGGACATTTTTAGGTTTGTGTTAAAGCCACGCTTTTTTAAATGTATAGTTCGACTGCCATTCCACTTAATACGCGCTTTTCTTTAGCCCATTTTCTCCCTGTTCATTTCTCTTTCCCGTCGCCACAATATTCACCGAGTTTTTAGCTAAAGCGACGCGGTTCTTATAATCTGGTCCCAAGAGTTCTGCGGGTGCAGCGATGGTTAAATGTAGCAAGTGGTGGAATAAGCTTTGTTTTTACTGCCAGTTATTGTAATCTGATGTATTTGGCGATAAATCAAAATTACTTCCGTCGTAATGTAGAAGCCGCTGAGAAAAGACACGGTTTAAACGTAATGATTAAACCAGACAGGCTACCGGGAGAGTGAGGCCAGCGAATGAGTGGGCTATATACATTTGGCGGGTCTTTCCTCAATAAAAGCAGGGCTTGGGCCTATTTTGCACATGAGCCCTAATGTCTCTGAAATGTGTAAATAAGTGGAAGGGGAACAGTGAGGGAGGGATGCGTGGAATAACATATTAAATTATCCTTTAAGAAAGTAAATGGTTAATTGATACCAGCTACCTCTCAACCTCAGGTGACTGACATCATGTGAATTTTTTTGGGGGTGACACTATTTGCAGAGATTGATAGATTGATCACTGCAGCTTCTGCTCCGCTTCGTGTTTAGTTATTTAGCTTCAGTTGTGATGTTGGTGTTAAAAGTAGCGATGATATAAGCGTTCTGGGAGCCGGGAGATAGTTTAAACTGTGAGCTTTAATTAAATAAGATATCCTGCTTCCAGCCATTACGTTTAGAACAATTATTTCGCACTAAAGTACTGTATAATGGACCTCCAACTGTGCCTAACCCAGCAATCATCGGCAAAAGCTAAACACGGGCCATTGCATACTGTCGCTACTCATTCCCTGTTCTCCAGCACTAAAAAAGCGAACAGGGAGAATGTCACGGCCAACATTCTCCGCCATTTTCAATGGTAAAACTCATTAAAGAGGCCAGTCGTGAAGATAATGTCCTGCCCCCTCTCCCCCCCCCCCCCCCCCCCCATCCCCAACCCCCGATTTCTTCCTCCTCCCACCTCACCCCGTCGGGGAGAAGAAGCCCGGTAAATATACTCTAATTACTACTGCGAGTAATATCAATGTAACTCAGTTCCGCATGCTAATGTAACGGATGTATAATGCTTTGGGAAGTGACCTGCTGGGCCGCATCGCTATAACCAGCCATTTAAATGTGTTTAAAACGCTTTCTAAATACTAACCATTAAATGAAAGTACTGGAGGCTTGCCGAGTCACCCAAGAGGCAAATTTGGTTTCAGTTCAAAAAGATGCTACAAGCTGGGGGCCATCTGAATATCGAAAGGGCGGCTCATGTTCCCAAATTCCAGTCTAATTTCGCTGCTGAATCAACTCTTGTTGCCTATGTGGGATAGAAAATAATATTAGAAACAAAAAAATGGTGTGCCATTGCAAACCTGAATATGAGGCAGCGAGGTGATGGCTGGATGGACAGATAGAAAATTAACTAGGGCAGTTAGGTAGATGGAGGCATCCATAATAATAATGCTTGCATTTGACATCGCACCTTTCACATCTTTAAGGTGTCTCAAAAGGCTTCACAGACGATACTGTAAAGTGAATTTACTGCATATGTTGTGGGTGAAACTGTATCCATATCATACAAACATAGGAACAGGAATAGGCCATTCAGCCCCTCGAGCCTGTTCCACCATTCCCATAAGATCAAGGTTAATCTATACCTCAACTCAAATTACCCGCCCTTGCTTCATATCCCTTGATACCATCACCTAACAAAAATCTACCCACCTTCGTTGCACTGGGATAAAAAGTGGACATTCGGATACAGTACAATTGGGTGGATTTACACATGTATAATGGCGTACATGGGCAGATATGTGCACACACCAGATAGCGAGAGAGTTACAGAAGCACTTGGGCAATTCTCTGTTTACTCAGCCATTTAGTGTCCCGATGCAGAACACTATCGCCACTATCCAGTTTCCATGACTGTCGGTTACAGTTACGAGTTGTTAAAAGAAAAGAGATTATGGGCCTTAAATCAGCTGCGAGTGAAATGCAACCGAACTTTTCTTATACGTTCTAATACCCTCTGCATCTAAAATTAATTGCGTGAGAATGCGAGATAATGGCTACTGTACAGGACACATCCAAACAAACGGGAAACTCTCTTTAGAATTGAAGCTTTATCCCAAAATGTAAGCTTTCTTAAATTGGGTTCAAAATTGTACCTGAATCGGTGAAAACATCCAAATGCATTCCCAATGTCAGCTGTGTATATAATTATAACGGTTTAGTTAGTTTTCATCAAGATCCAAGTTTAGCTCGTGTTCAATATATTGACTCAACTCTTCAGTTATTGTTCATTTGATACTATTTATATTTATTTATAAATTATATTTATTTGAACTGACTTTTTTAAGAACAAACTTTAAGACCAACAGCAACAAGAAAAACAAATAATTCATCCTATTTACTTTTCAAGTTGCTGCCTCTTTCTTTCCTCCCCCCGGAGGTCACGTCTATCAATTTCAGTTTAATTTTCAATATTCAGAATTAGTCAGCTAATGACCTCTTTGCTCCTGGGCTCGCTGGAAATCTGCTCCCGCCGGAAATCCAAATGCTGCAAAACAGGTGGAGGGCGTTTCACAAGAAAGAGAAAAAAAACTTACAGACACTCTAACGGAAATTAGATGCTGTTATTTTCTGGTACAAATTAAATCTTTCACAAGCACACACCCACATAGCCAGACACACACACACACATCCACAGGCACACATACACACACACATATCTACTGGCACACACACACACACACGGATACACAACCCCACATGTATCTCCTCTCACCTCGAAAGCACACACACACAAATTCAGACACATACACCCCCAAGTATACCCACACATAGACACATATATGTTCACGGTACATATGCACATTTGGGCATTCTGGTACAAATGAAAGCTTTGACATGTGTATACATATACACGTATACACGCGCACACATAGACAAACACACGCACACATGCACAGGCACACTATATATACAGGCTGACCAAAAAGTCGCGGCATCTACCATATTCTCTNAAAAAAATGTATCGTCGTTTCTTTAAGACTTATTAGACATTGTAATAGTGTCACGACTTTTTGATCACCCTGTACATATATATTTATATACATTTATGTATGTACATAGATAATATATATGCACATTTGTGCATAGATGCGCATATACAGAGACACATTCGGAATGTGTCTGAAGCATACATAAATTATTATATGCATAATCAACATATACACAGATACAAACACACGCGCCGCTGATGTATGCATATCGCTGCGATAGTATGAGTAAGGTTGAGCATCGAAAAAATCTCATAATATCCCTGACCTATATTCTTTTCCACACTTAATTCAGATTGGAACCCTCCTCCAACACTCACGTATATATTGTATATATTACATATATTAATTTGTTTGAATGAAAACCATCACTTTGAATATTTCTCGTTAATTAATGCATGTTTTGATATGCGGAGGAGGGGAAAAAAGGAAATCTATTCAGTTTAAATTGAGTGAAATTTGATACAAATTCTTTCAACTGGGCACAAAGCCAACCTTTCTGGGTCTCGTTTTAAAATAAATCCCACACGAATACAATTAGCGTATCTTTTGCTNAAAAAAACACCAGAACTACCAAGGTTATCAAATACTCTATTTATTCTAGAAATAGCAATCCATTTGGTTTCGCTTCAAAAGGCGCAACTTTTTAATTCCCTGTCTGTGCCTCGTGTCTCAATTTAAAGTATTCTTTGTTGCTGAGAGAGATTTCAGAAGGAAAGTTCTGGGAGTTGGCGCCAGGAATACACACACAGACGCAGACACACATACAGAGCCAAAGTCTATTTCAAAGTCTGTACCAAAATCTTGACCTTGAGGCAAAACGTTAAAAATACTCTACCCTGAATTCTTTGCCGGTTTATTTTATGAAGTGTTTTTCTTTCCGTTTGCATTTGCATTTATTAGTTTTACAACAAAGAAATTATAGGCCTTCCTGCACCTCAAACATACGAAGACCATTTAATTCAATGTTTATTGCGAATAAATGCGGGAAGACACTAAAACAAATGTTTCTGTTTTGGCCGTCTGAACCGAGCTGTGATTCCCCGACAACGTGTTCAAAATTAACCACATTATTTGTATTTATAGAAATACACGTGAAGAACATTTGTTGTTTTTTGTTCCTGTTTCACTACAGACGATCTTGAGTTGTGTGAAATTGGTGATCGGCCTCTTGTGTTCAGTCACTGGGGGTATTGGATGAAACCGCTGCAGCACATTAGCAATGCACTTACGGTATAAAACTAATACAAAATACGAACCCATCGCAATTTGCAAACGGAAACATGCAAAGCAAAGTCGTGAAAATAAGAGTCGCGTTTTTTGAATTGCTTATATTAAGATTGCGAGAAGCTTATTGCGAGACGTTGATTCTAATTGGTTATTTACTGGTTCGGGGCGAATTCAGTTTTTCAAAGAAAAAAAGGGAACGAAGTGCACATTTTAAAAATCTGGGACATTTCGCGTGTTTACCCGAGAGCATCTCACTCTTTAAGGGAATCGTTTTGTTCCCAGCACAACATAGATCAAATAATATATGGAGGCGCTTGTTTGATTGGGGTGCAATTAACATTATCGTTACACGTTTCCGTGTGATACGTGTTCCGACACAAATTTCCCCTTTTTTATGCTATTTAAATATATTCTTCGCCCAAAACACTTCCCCGCTTCGACGCACCCAACAAACCTACAATTCGATAGGATTGTTTAAACAAACGTTCTCTTTCTATTTTATTTTTCTCCCTATTTGTCTTAGAAAATATTACGGTGAATAATTTCTTGCAAATTTGAGATGAAATTCAAAAAACAATGCTCTCATCTCTACTAAATTGCTACGAATTTACTTGAAATAATCTGTTCACTAAAATACCGCTTGTTCGGCAAACGAAAACGGGTGTTTTCAATTAAGCGAACTTCGCTTTTTTCTTAAACAAAGGAAAGTGTCTCAATTCCGTGTTTCACGTGGATGCTCCGTCAACACAAACCGAGACACATTTTACAAATTTTTTAAAAAAAAATGTGCTCAACACATTCTTGCAAGTTCAAATCCCCCGAATTCTAATTATTTTCGCCATTCTGTTCACAGAGGTTTCGTCTCTATATGTCTTAAACGTCACATATAATACATATTTATGGTTAAATATCCAAATGTTGCTTTTGAATTTTGAGAAATACTTTACCGCTGGGTTTTTTTTTTGGCCCCCTTGGAGTCCCTTGGAATACACCACAGCAAGCCATGGGCCGGCCTGGGAGTGGGATTCGCCCTGGGGGTGCAGCCTCGCCGTTCACGGCTAGGTGTCGCTGTTGCTCCATCGCCGACTCCCACCGCCAGACAACTTGACCCGTGTGACGTCACCAAAGTTCGAAGCATCAAGGCCATTTTCAAATTTCATTGGTCTGCTGATCACGTGGCCTGCCAAATCCATCCATAATTATGTTGCTTATATTTTTTTTCCTAAAAAAAAAGATGTCAGCCCTATAGCGCTTGTAATCTTCCTCCAAATCCCCTTTGAAAATGTCATGCCCCAACAATGTGGCCGCCAACACCTTTCTGATGGACCCGTTGGCCGCGGTTTGCAGAGGTGAGAATTTCAGCTCCAATCCTGGGATGTACATGCAGGCAGGAGCCGAGTTTGGCTGTGGGGTGCGAAACTGTGGATTAATTCCTGCTCTGTCCAAACGGGATGAGGTTAATCCTTCAAATCTGGCTCTGACCAACTACCCTTACCTATCTCAACTGGACGGATGGGGCGAGCATCCCAAATCCTATAGGATCGAACAACCTGTTGCCAGGACTCTACCTTCCTGTTCTTTCCCGACCACGGTGAAAGAAGAGAACATCTGCTGTATTTACGGTTCGGAGAAACGAGGCAAAACGACCGGGGACGGTGCACTGTACCCGGGGCTAACGCCAGAAACTTGCCCAACCGAAAATGAAGTCCCCGTGCCCGGATATTTCCGTGTGAGTCAAGGTTACTCAGTGGGCAAATCTCCCGACTGCAGCACCACAGCTGAATTCGACTCCGCTTTTAATTCGGCGCCGAATCTGCAACAGATCGACAAGATTCAACAACCTCCGACAAGCGTGACAGAGAGTTTTATCAAAAGCCCCGGAAACAAAAAGGACGGCGGTGACGGGGGTGAGAAAACTCTAAATGCGAGTAGCGCTAAGAACAATTATGTTGCTGCCAGAAAAGAGTTAAACAGAGAAGATTCTAGTCGGGTTACACCCTCCAAAGAGACAGAAACAGTCACTGAAGCCTCTAAACAGCAGGATTTGAGCTCAGAAAACTCGGACACTGAATTCAAAGGTAAGAGTAAGCAAGAAAAACAGTCACTACACTTGACAACAATCACCGTAAAGCTCTTTACAGACGGTTCGACACTGTAGGTTCTGTAGAAACCCAGGTCCCTATTATTTCTTCTTTTTTTCTCTTTCTCTCCTCGTCTCAAATAACCCTCAAAATGTAAAATGCAATCTAAAAATATTCGTTACGTCACCAGGGAAACGCCGGGACTAAGACAGAATCAAGTTCACATTTTTAACAGCGATCAAGTCGACCTAACGTACTGTTTTCTTTCTTTTTTGAAAAAACGAAATCAATATTTAAGTTGTTATGATAAACTCCTCTGCAATTGAATAAACATGTAGCATGAAATCTGACTTTTAAGCACTGAGCGCGAGTTAGAGAAAATCAGCACATTCTGGCTCTGTAGTTGTAAAATCAAACGCAAGGATTATTATTATTATCGCAAAATATTTTTACATTGTAAGAACTGAAGGAATAACTTACCTAATGCAAGTCAATTAAACATGTTCTTTCTTTTACCGACGCTATTTACTCGTAAATAGAACCCAACGCGGTTCTGTAAACGTTCGTAAATGCAAATGTTCAACCCCTACCTAACTAATAAAAGCACCGTATGTTAAATAAGAGAGAGGAAGGGAGTGGCGTTAATTACAAAAACATGCAATGTAGATTTCGTTTGTTAAAATGCAATAAATTGGGGGAAATAACCCTTTTTTGCATATCAAGCGACAAACAAAGCGGATATACATTTTATAGTAAACTGTTTTTTCAAAAAAAAATGGGCATTTTTAATTTGTAACATTTTAACAAAGTTATTGGAGAATAGAATACACGTTAAATCGGATTCGCCTGTAACGTGTTACTCGCTGTCTTTGTGGCATAGTGGGGAAATTCGTTAAAAACAATAGAATAGAATAGAATAAAAACAATCAGTAATCGGATGCACATCTCTCAAAAGCACCACTCACTAAAATGTGAACCATTCTATAATATACATTGCAAAGGCGAGGGCCAGTTCTGTAGTTAGCGGGATATTAAAAGCTATTGAAAATAATACAAAATACATTTTAAAATGCTTCAGAGGAAAGAGAGGATCGTGTGCGGTTAAGTTCAACATTTCAGGTCAAGTATAGAAATAGTACATAACATTCCCATAGAAATCTGCATTGTGTTTATGTACAGAATAGTCGGTTGGGAATGAAAGGGACACTGGTTGTAGGATAACTATTTCCGTTGTTTTCTATAATCTCAATGTTCCAAAAATAATTTTAAAAAACTGCGAGGAAAACGCGGATATTATTATTATTGTTGTGATTGTCATAGAATTATAGTATACCGTTTGCAGACCACTGCGGCGGTCGCTAACCCTGAATAAGGCACCCCTCGAACCGAAAAGATTGAAGCGTTTTCTGCAAGCAAATTAAACATTTTAGATATTGACAAATTCTTGTCTTTTCTGGCGGGGAATCCGTTCCAATGCGCTCGGCCGTGACTAGAATTTTCCGTTTCACACAACTGAGGAAAAAGACTGTGTGTCTGTGTGCAAGAAAACCCAATCCGTTATAACGTCTTTCACGGCCTCTGCATAGTAATTGCAAAGTTATGACACCTAATCATTTCTATTGTATTCCTCCTTCATGAGATTTTATAAATTCTCCGCGTGTTGTTAGCTTTAATCACTCACTCTTATCTTCCTCCTCACCCCCTCTCAAATAGGTGGATAAATACACATCTTTAGACTAAAAATGTCCTTTGCAATGTAAATATCGCAAGATTACGATTAACTTACATTCTGCGATTTCAACTGAATATTTGACCTTAACCTTAGAATATTTTCCATTAATGCAAATACGTGTATATGTATACACACGTATATACGTGTGTGCATGTATATATTATATATATTAATTGGGCTGAATTGGTTAAGATGTCTACACGTTCTATGTGGCATTATGTGTGAAAAAACAATTGAACTTATCGATTTGTAACGAAAAATACGGACAGATAAATAAGTGTCAAGGCGGCAATAAGGAGAGTGGTTTTGGAGGAGCCAAGAAACCAATACAAAACAAGTTGACTGATTGGTATCACTTAGAGTGACTCATACGTGAAAATGCAACATTACATGTAATGAAACTATTTTTTTAACCATAAAAGAGGTTACAATAGGGATGAGAATCGAGAATTTTAGGCTCCATTGAGCAATACAGTCCAGGCTCATAAGCTGGGAGAGCCTTGCCGGGCAGATAGAGGTTGTGTCTGAAGTGTAAAACGTTATTCTCTACAGAGGAAACCAAGAGAGAAAATGCAGCAGGAAGCTGGCTGACAGCTAAGAGCGGAAGAAAGAAGCGTTGTCCTTACACCAAACACCAAACACTGGAATTAGAAAAAGAATTTCTCTTCAATATGTACTTGACTCGCGAGCGCCGCCTTGAGATCAGTAAGAGCATCAACCTCACCGACAGACAAGTTAAGATCTGGTTCCAAAACCGTAGAATGAAGCTGAAGAAAATGAGTAGGGAGAACCGGATCCGAGAACTGAGTACCAATTTTACCATTTCATGAATATAATTAAATTCTCTGTGGGTGAAAACAGGGGAAATCCGAAGAGCCCAAAGACTGTTTTACAGAGAATGTCACATTCAATGCCACCTTCTATCTATCTATCGTTATTGGATAGTGTGTTCATTGTAACAAAAAATAGGCATGTGGACCGATCGCGTTGTGTGTTATTTCATCCATCCTAGTAAATGTTTAAATTATTAACTAGCACAAAAATGTACAACGTTGAAATATTATCTTTATAAGACAAAACATGACTTGCTAAAATGTGTTGAAAATGGACTAACGTTGGTATTTAAGTTTTAGAAAAAGAGAGAATCGAGGTTTTGAACTCTCCCCCACCCCACCTCCCCCCACTCTCAAAAAAAATGATAATGTAAATGTAGTTTAAACACAGGGACAACTTTTAATTTTAATGCCTAGTTGGTTGAGCACAGCTGTGTGATGTGAATGTCTGACAGAGAACGCCGATTCCTGCCACCAGACAATGTCTTCACTATATCTGACATCTGCAGTGGAATTTAAGACTTAATGAAATGGTAGGAAGATAGTGCTCGTCATATCTAGAAACGAAGCAAGCTGGCAGTAAATGATAAATGTTTTTTTTAAATATATATATATATATATTGTGTGTGTGCGTGCGTGTGTGAGTATGTGTGTGTGTGTGTGTGTGTGCGCGTGTGGTGTCTTATGCATGTAGTGTCGTGCTTCACAGATCTGAATAAATCGATGTGTTTATTTCGGGGGGTTTAGAATTTTTAATCACTTTGACTCTGTCTGTGGTGATGGAACATTCCTCCAGATTTTTCAGGAGGGAGGGAGGGGGAGGGAAGAATCTGGGCGCTTTAATATTACCCAGCGCCTGTAACGTTGATTTAAATATTATACAGGTGACCACAATCAGTCAAGGTCATAAAGCAGTAATGTCAGGACAGTTGTAGTGAGGACTGGAGGTGGATTTTATGATCTTCAAATATAATGCGCGCAGCATAAAGATGCATTTAAAGGTGACTGGAGGAGAGAGGAAGGAAGAAGTGAGAGGCACTACCAGTGTATGGATTCGACACCCAGATTAAGACAAGATTCCTCCTTTACTGGGGCGAACATCATCAGCAGGCACCGCAGAGACTAGATTAAACCAGGATGTACTGGGAATTAGAAAGGTAAGAACNTTTTTTATATAATTTAATCCTCAAGACAATTTGAAAGCACATCAATGTACATGTTTTTTTACACACGTAAAACCATGTATAGATGCACACATAGATAAACGTGTATAATTATATTTAGTTCTACGTGGGAGCTGGATAATACATTGTTATTTGGATTCAATGCAAATTCTATATCTTGTGTTGAACAAGTGCAGTTTATATTTTTCTTAGCGAATCCAAACTTTCCTTTTTTTTTGCTAACCCAAATTCTCCCCTCCCTCACTTCCCTTCGTTCTCGCGGTCCAGATGATTCTATCAAACCACAGAATGCATTTTTCGTTCAATCTTGCCCTTTTCTCTCTCTCCCTCTCCCTACCTCCCCTTTTCCCTTTCGACGCACGCGGTTTTCAAAAGATATTTTAAGTTTTTAAAAAAAAGGATGTTCAGCTGGTGCTTTCCTTAAAGCAAAGAGTTTTCGTTCAGTTAAGTTGAAGGGCAACGCGAAAGTGGGATTTTATTCAGGAAAACAAAGCACAGAACAGAAAAAAAAAATCGAGGTTTCAAATAGGACCATTGCCGGATTTCGCGCCTGTTTTGTCCAACTGATGTGTGGTTTAGGTAGTTTCATGTTGTTGGGATCGGGTTTAAACTCGACAACAAGAAACTGCCTTAATTACGTCAGTTCGTTTTCATCAAGGGCAAGTATTATCTATCCCCCGATTCCAAACAGTGTCTTGACCGCGGCATTGGAGATGCGATTGACTAAGTTATTTGCGGGTCTTTCTAGTCAAATCTTCTCTAGGACGAGTGTTTCCATCCAATTTTAAATGCTTCCATGCTCCAAAAAAATACCAGATGGCAAGTATATGTGTATATGCATTTTTAATTTTTTTAAAAAATAAATACATATGCATTTTCCAATCCCGCTGAAAAGCTAAGATAAAGAGGCGGAAGTCAATTTGACGAATCTTAATGGAAAATGGGTGAGCACAGTTAAATGGACACCAACTAGTGTGTTCAGAAAAGTGTCAGAATCATTTGGATGAATTTGTGAACTGTATCTCTTCTCTAAACTGTTGCCCCTGTTTGTGTTTAATCTCCTGAAAATGTTTTATTTATTTAGAGAGAGAGACCTGTTTTCAATGCACATTAATTCACTCAAGTTATGAAGGTTATGGAAATAAGTGTCTGCTGCTATTATTATTAATAACATTTACTTTCGTTAAAAAAGATAAATTGTTTTATATTGTATTTATAAATGGAACGGCGCACTGTGATCAGATGCATTCGGGCTGATTAGGTGCAGTTAGCGAGTTTTGTGTTAATTGTACGTTAATATGTTTTTTCAAAGAAGTCAAAGATAATAATGAACAATCGCTTTCAATTTTTAACTAAAGTGTGTTTGCGCTGTTAGGAACTTAATTTTCTTTTAAAAAATGAATTTCTTTTAAACTCTGAGAAAATCTACACAAATGTAGGTTTAACTCCTACCAGCGCAAACTGAAATGAAACGACTCTGCCCTTAAAACTTCAACTTCAGACAAAAGTTTTTTTTTAAAAAAGTAAACATCAAAAGCTGATCCACGTCAAGGAGGAATTTCAAGAATTAAATGCACCTATGAAAATATACAATTGTCGCTTTGCAAGGATGTTGTTCCCCAATAAGATGGTATTTTATTGTGTGGAGTAAGTTATGTGCGTTTAGGACTGTGCGATTGGATAGATTATGTTTGAATTTTGTATATTAGTTGAATATCAGACACTGTGCACATGAACGCGAGAGAAAGAGAAGCTAGCGAGAAAGACAGGAGAGAGACGGCGAGACAGGCAGACTAGCAGACAGACAGACAAACAGACAGAGAAACAGAGAGATGGATAGATAGTGTGTGTGTGAGAGAGAGAGACCTCGATTCCAATCAGACTGTTTGCAGAAGCACACTGGGCGAGACAAATAATAAACAGAGAGAGAGAAGCAGAAAAATAGACTGGGACGAGAAAGGAGTGTGAAACAAACAGAAACAGAGCGGTAAGTGTGATGCAGGGAAAGAATACAGAAGATACAGGCGGTAAGGACACACACATATATATAATATTATATACGTATAACTCTTACCAGTGTAAACTGAAATGATATTGAATGATATTCACAACGAGCATTTAAATCGAAAGGTATTGGTTTCTATGTATGAAAGTTAGAAACGCCATTGAATCAGTGGCACAATTAATAGGTTAAAATCTGCTTCTGCACTGCTCATTTCTGTGGGTTAAGCCTTATCCTATATTGTTGTGAATAGAACCCGGGGACGTTTGATTCCAGTCGAATGTGACCTTCCTTTTTATACTGTGCTGTGTTCAAACCCCCGTCAGCAATCCCTGCGCTGGGTAGAATATATCTAATCTTGGTTTGGGGATAATGACTTGAGGCGTCTGCATTTCGCCTGAAAAAAAGAAACTATAGAGGGAGAGAAGCAATTGATAGAAATGGTTTGCTTGAAATGTTAGGTTCAAAGTAGGAATGGCGTTTTTTTTTGAGGAATGCGCACTGTTTGCTTCGAAGGCTGTCTTTTATAAAACCAGAGACCCAAGTTATTGACTCATACAATCTCTCCAACCTTCATTTGTTCTGCGTACAACCGCTGATGCTCACTCAGCAAACGAAAAAAAGAGGAATTTTCTGTTTGAGAAATGCAAGTAAACCTAACGGGAAATAATTTGAGGGGGGAAAATGGTGTCATATTAGCATTGCTTAAGATCTCAAGGCTCAGTGCATTATTTGCATCGAAAATACGTTGATATTTGGGGTAAATAATAGTTATCTTTGTATAGGTTAGAAATTGCTATAACCCCCCCCCCCCCCCACACACACACACACACATCCCCCCCAAAAGCAGCTCCAGTACTGTAAATGCCAATTGATGATGGAACTTGTGTCTAGTCTTAGTTTCATACTCTTTCAGGTGACAATGATGAAGAAAAACATGTAGTCTGACCAGATATCTTTGGATTATTTGTACAGATAAGGGTGTAAACAAGCCGGCTAATTGCTGTCTGTGGGTTCACGTTTAAACGCGGAGAACGAGCCAGGGATTTGGTCAATTTGATTTAACTGGTACGAAGAATCCCCCCCACCCCCGCCCGTCCCCACCCCCACACCACCGCCCCCCACCCACCAGTCTAAGAAAATGATTTGAAAGATGTAACATTACCCATTGGAAAAATGAATCCTAGCGGGTTCAAAGCAATGTGAGGCGTGAAGAGGACTCCGCGTAAAATGTGTGTGTGTGTGTGTGTGAGTGTGTGTGTGTGTGCGTGTGGATGGGGGAGTGGTAGTGGATGGTAGGTGGTAGAACTGTTGCTAAAATCGATCTTTGAATATAGTTTGAGCACAGAGAGAATATGCACCATTTCAGTCGGTTTGTAGTTCATTAAATACCAGTCTCCCTTCCTTCCTCTGTGAGGTACAAGCAATTCAGTTGCATTAGGGTTTCCCCTGACTTACTCATTGAAACAAGTCTTGCCAGTAAAAAAAAACTACGGCATCTCACTTGCCACAATTTGCAGATGATCTGAATATATTATTTTTAAAACGAATTTCACATTGCAACCCCCCACCCACCAAAAAAAATAACTGATATAAAAACATTTTTTGTGCCCTCATTATTGTGCGCGATTGATGTGAGGCGGCGTGACAGAGAAAAGTGTTTGATCAAAAAGCGGGGTGTGATCATCCAGATCATATTGATTTTTTTTCCTGATACGGTTTCAGTGGGAAAAGCCTTGTTTTGGGGATTTCCCGAACTTGAAGGTGTTTTTGAACCGAGGCGGGAGGAATGTTGTGTCGGGGTTTTGAGGCGCAGACAATCAGTCAAAGGCGCTAAAGTTGTGTCTGTAAAATCCATCGCCTGTAATTACCTCTTTTGAATCGCCCTTCTTGCCCTGGCGGCTCTGTCACTGGATGTACAATAGCACCGACCCCCTCTCTCCCTCTCTCCCTCTCTCTGTGTGTCTCTCAGTATTTGCTTCTATCTTAGCGGCGTCCATCCTTTATCCCACCATTCGGCCATTGCCATTATTTCCTTGCGCCGAAATCGGAAGAGAGAGCGAGAGACAGAGAGAGAGAGAGAGAGAGAGAGAGAGGGAGAGAGAGAGAGAGAAAGAAAGAAAGAGAAACAAGACACTATTTTCTTTCCATGTGTCGTGGTACCTCATGAGCAGCCATTGGGGGAAAATGTGTATATCCAGGCCTGAAGACAACCGATCCACAGAGATATTAACAAGCGGAAGATTAGCTGCTGAGCTAAATGGATAGGACGCATCGTTGCCAAAAAGGTTCTGTGAAAAGCTGTGGTTCTGGGGTTAAAATTCCTATTTAAAAATGTAAGCTGTCGGGCTTCCCAATTTGGGAACATGGAAGTAAGAATTAAGAATCGACGCAATTTCTGATTGAAGGGCGCTGGAGATATGTAGCGACTCTGGCCCCTTCTGAAATCAAAATCTGCATGCAAGACTTGCGGAAAACTGCTGAGACATAGTCTTTTTTTAAAAAAAAACACGCTCAATTCCCTTGTTGTCCATATTGGGGGTAATTTGAAGGGACGCGGGCGAGGATGCTTGACAATCCTAGACAATTCTGTCTGTACTGATCGCGCGCTAAGAACTTTTTAGTGCCACAGAAGTTTACCACACTATTAACCCTCCAAAGAGGCTTTCAGACCACTTATTGTCACACAAACACATACCTAGACGTAATATTACCCTCCAGGAGGCTCGCCACATGAAAGCAAACAATAGACTCTCTTTTTTTCTAACTGAGCCCTCTTTAAACTCCTGTTGTCACGCACTGGTCTCTCTCCTGTAGAATGAAACGACGTGAACTTTACTGACAAACAAAGAGAGGGAAGCTCTGACTCCGAAATTTTCAGCTCTGTCTCTCTTTCTCTCTCTCTCACTCTCTCTCTCCCCCTCCAAAAATATCGCCTTTCGTTATCAGCGTTGTAAATTGGTTTTACAAATGTTCTGTTTGCATATTATGTGCGCCCATGACAGCTGTGGTGTTGTTAAATCTCTGCCTTTTGCATTCGAAATTATCACTTTAGGTCATTAAGAAAATATATGTTTGGACTTTATCAGTACTTTTGGTCTATTGCTGTTTTCTCGTGCTGACTGTGAACTGGAGACGCTATTACTGCCTTCCTTTTCTGTGCTTTAACCACTAAATATCAGTGAATAGGTTCAACATGCATGTACATCTGTGTGCACGTATGTGCGTTTATTGTGCATACATGCAATGATATGTTTCATTACGCAACACAGAATTAGATTGCATATTCTCTTGTCTGTCTATACATGTAAATAGCATGAGAATGTTTTATATCAAAATGCATACAACTCAACGGATAATGTTATCCGGTATAATGTAAATTTGTTTTAGCTGCATACACGTGTATATATTTGAATTCGTTTTGCTATGTAGAAAGGTATATCACATTCCTTTAAATAGCTTTAAAAAGATGTGTGTGTACTTTTCTGAAGGAGCTGTCTGTTTCTATCTAAGCTGTTCAAATCCGACGTTGTTATTCTTTTAAAAGTAGGGTGTTTGTATCTGTAGAAAGATAGGCCACAATGAATCATGAAGATGTTTAGAAATTAGCTTATTTATTTTTGCAAACACACCGAAGCTAAATTAGCTGCACTTCATGTTTTTTGGTGTCTAAGCAAAGCGCCTGCTGAAAACACCAATTGCAATTATATGGTTAACTTGTCTCGTCCTAAGTTTCAAAGAATTTGATTATTGCAAATATTTGTTTCTGATTGTTAAGTAACTGTTTTTTTCAAACAGGAATATATTTAATTGCTGCTCCCTATGTGTCTCTCTCTCCCTTTTTCTTTCTGACCGCTTGTTTTATTTTTCTCTATGTATCTCTCCCTCTGTCGCTCTACCACTTTCCCTCGCTCGCTGTCTCTCCACGTCTCTCAGATGCCGCCTGTCTCGCTCTCTGTTACTCATTTTATTCCCTCTCAATGTATCTCTCATTCTACCTCTTTATTGCTATCTCTTTATCGCTATCTTCCCTTCTCCCTTTCCCCTCTCTATATCCCCCCCCCCCCCCCCCCCCCCCATCTCTCTCTCTCTCTCTTTCTCAAACTGATATGTGTACAGAAAGCAGGTTGTGAAAAAAAATCCTTTCCAATAATATAGATCAGATCAGTAAATCCCACCACTTCGAAGCAGCTGACATTGGAAATTAAATTCAGACAATAAATTGAATATTTAATATTGAAAAAAATCCCTCGTTTGGGTTCTGAAAGCCAAGATTAAAATATCAAACTTACAGCGAGCTGAGTGTTCCTTAAACGCTGTCATGCCCGCATCACTTTCTCTTGCAATATTGAAATCCTGACAAAATTTGACAAATCTAAACATCCATTAAGTGACTGCAATTAGATACACTTGCTAAGTATTGAAAGGAAGGGGAGAGAACGAGACAGTAGGAGAGTCATACATTTCCATTTTGACTCTTCGTTTCTTAACGTTGAACCCCAAATGCCAGAGAAACTGCTTTTACTGACACACACATATAGATATATAATTTCTGTTCATGTCAACTGAGAATCCTCCACGCTGGGATTCAATATAAAATGTGCGGAAAATTTCAAGTCGTGGGAACAAACAAGCCTAGCATTAGCTCTAAGCAACATTGATTTATTTAAGTTGTTTATATATATATAGAATAAAATAAAAAAGCGACAATCAAAAACTTTTTTTCCCCTTCCTCCACCTCCCCTCCTCTCCACTTCCTTCTTCTTAGTTTCTGAAATGACTTTACTGGTAGCTGAACAAGTACTACTGATTGCAACCGCTTTGCTCTTTCCAAAATCTCACACTCGCGTAACAAGGGCTGAGGGGTTTATGCCATAGAAAGCGCGTCTGTTGTTTTTATTAACGACACGTTTATGAACAATCAAATGCTCATCGTAAAACTTTACGGAAAAGCATAAAAAACATTCACGAGTGGTTGTTGAGTCTAACCACCATGGAGGCAAGGGCTTGGAAATCTACCCAAGTCACTCAATGCACGTTTACACGGATACTCTGGCAGAAAAGTCTGCTTGTGGATGCATATAGTATTCAAAACTATTTATATGTAAAATTCTTTTCCCCCCCCACCTTTTCAAAATCTGGTCATTTAATCCGAGCGAAGCTTCGAGCAAAGTTCCCAAGGTTCTTTGGAATTTGCAAATGCACACGATGCGGTGTGGTTTTTTCTGACCGTATTATTAGCCGTATGTAATAATTATGCATTTTAATTCGATTTTTGTCAAGGATCCAATGCATACTCGCCAGCTATAGCGCGAGTCTGAGATTAATTGAGCAAAGAAGTAGTCCCCTTTTTTTTGAAGGTGGTGAATAGAATTCAGGCGCATTAAACACGCCTGGGGTGGACTGATATGAAGTAACTTTAATTTTTAAAAAGCTCATGTTTTGCAAAAGCCCTTTTCTTGTCTTGTTAATATGATAATGCTGTTTAGCCACCAGTCATTCACCCCCCCCCTCCCTCTCCCCCCCCCCCCACCCCCACCCCACCACCACCACCACCCACCCCCCCCCCCCCCCTTTTCTAAAAAAAAATCCCAATATTAAACAGATCGAGTCTGGCGCATTGATTCCCCCCACTGCAATTTTTTTTGACAAATAGGGCCCACGTGAGGTGCGGAGACCAATGGCAGAGTGAGGAGCCCAGCAAAAAAATAATTACCTGCTTTGATTGTTGTATAGGAGATAAGAAAGTATACATACACTCTGCTAGAATATTCCCTTAAATGTAAGCCACAATGTCGACAAGTGGTGCTCTCACTAACTACTATGTCGACTCGATTATAAACCATGAGAACGAAGAGATGTTCGCGGCTCGCTTCGCCGCCTCTGGGTCGCACCCTCCAGCTCCACGACCTGCGGGATTAGTCCCTGATTGTACAGATTTCCCATCGTGTAGTTTCACTCCCAAACCGCCAGTTTTTACCACGACCTGGGCTCCCGCGCACTCCCAGTCATCGGTGGCCGTCACCGGCGTGTATCACCCCTACTCCCACCAGCCTCATCTGGGGACTGACACCAGGTACATGCGCTCTTGGCTGGAGCCTATCTCAGGCCCCGTGCCGTTCCACCACGGCTTCCCGTCCACCGGCAGGCACTATGGGGTTAAGCCCGAGAGCTTCCCGGGGAGGAGAAGCGAGTGCACCGACGGCCGCAGCTTCACAGACTACATCTACGGATCTTCAACAGATAAGATTTTGCAAAGCATCCCGTCCCCAGGTTCGGAGACCATGGTTTCAGCCAAGCACAAAGACGAAAAGACGGAAATTGATCCGAGTAAGTACTTGCAACATCAAAGTTATTTACAACCGGGAGATTATACACTGGCTACATGACACTCTGTCCAAAGGTACTAAATTACCCCTGACCAGAAGTGCATGAATACACAGCGTAGCCTATATACCTGGGAGCATCTTTGCTCGTTTTAAACCGGGAGCCACGTATTTCTAGGACAATTTAATTAAGTTTCCCGTTCACTGCTGTGGACGCTGCTGATATGCTCTGTAGTTCAGTGGAAAGCCAAGGTGCCCATTTGCACCTGAAAATGACCACAATTCGGTTCGTTGTGTGAGAGAAAAGAATGTCAAAATGTCATTTAACACCTGAATATAAGGGATAAACACGAGAGGGGGAAGGGGGAGAGGGGAGAAAGCAACTAGGATGAAGTGACTCATCTCGGGGTCTCTGGCCTTCACGCGTTCAGCAAATGTTGTGTATATAATGCAAATGACCCCGATTCTCATGTTCAGTCTCGTTAGCAGAACAGAATAGAAGAGAGAAACTGAACAGGAGGGGAAAAAATAGGAAGGCTCATTCCAAAATAATAAGTTTCAGTCACATGGCACATCATTGAAAAAAAGACCCCGAGCAAGTAGAGCGGTTTGTTTAGATGTACAGTGCATTACAGGCGAATATTGACCCCCTGGAACAATTCGGCAATTAATAATAATAATCATGTAATAATCCTTGTATTTGACATAGCGCCTTATCACTTTTTCGAGACTTCTCAGAGAGCTTCACAGAATATACTGTAAAGCGGATTGACTGTGTATTTTGTGGGCCAATTTATGTGAACCAAGAAAAACATGTTCAAAGGGGTTTTGCTAAAACCTGAGAATGTCGGAATAAACCGATAAACAGGTGCTAGGCCACTGTCTTACGCCCATTAAACACATAATAGTTTCACCTACCTCTCATAAAAGGCTTCTATTTTTTACTTTAATGCAATGTTGGTTCATAAACGGAACCACTTATGCCTAGAAGCCGAGAGGTTCTTCCCTGTTAGACGCGTGGAAAGCAACGGCTGTGTATTTTATAGCCTCGAGTGCTATTCTAAAGCTCCCACCCCACCCTCCCCACCGTCCCTTAACACACTAAAAGTAAACTAACTTCTCCAAGTCACCCGGAAGAAGCGAAAAATATAGTGAGAATGCTCTTAAATCTGTGAGTTTTACTACGAGGATGAGGCGGTGCCTTAAACACAGAAAGAGAGAGGCGTAATTAACTGAAGTATTTAAAATTTGAATGTATTATCTGTGTCCATTTTCCCTTCATGTTTGTGTGGGTTTTGGAGTGTCTAGAGTTGTTTTCTGTCGTGCAAATGGAAGTTCAATATTGACCCAATTCCTACCTTGTTTTCAGGTAACCCTGCAGCAAATTGGATACACGCTCGATCCACAAGGAAGAAACGGTGCCCTTACACCAAATACCAAACCCTTGAGTTGGAGAAGGAATTTTTGTTCAATATGTATTTAACGAGGGACCGTCGCTATGAAGTTGCCAGGGTGCTTAATCTGACTGAGCGACAAGTCAAAATATGGTTTCAAAACAGGAGGATGAAGATGAAAAAAATGAACAAGGAAAAGAGCGACAAGACCAGCAATGAAAACTGACGTGACATTATTAAAATATTAATAATATCGCCATATTAAAAGTTCGGAACTGAGGACTGTGCGCTTTTTTTTCCTATTAAATTAATTTACCAAAACTTCCCTCCCTCCATCCCCTCCCATCATTGTCCTGTGTGCAAAATATACCACAGAAAAACTCACTCCGTCAGTCGACCCGAAACTCCATTTTGTTTAAAGAATACTTGAATTTCTATTATTTAAAAAAGTGTAAGTTTTAATCACACTTGTTTATGTTATATATTAGGCGTCGTGAGTGTGTTACACACATTTTTTTGTACCGAGGTGCAGAAAGAAAACTGTGTCAATTGTTCGTTTCTGTCTTGGATATTTTATTAGTCCAATAACTGTTTTTGTCACTATTTTTGTGATGTTATATTTTCGTTGTAGTCCGTAGATCTATTTAAATATATTTGAATCCTAACTCCAAAGGGGTCTTCATTGTTTAATCTCATTTAATAAAAATGTGCTTGGACAACACACAAGCGAGCAGAGGTGGCGCATGATGTGTTTTCGATGGCAATTTTCAAAACCTAATCCGGTCAAAAACAATATCTTTAATAAAAGTAAATTCACAATTCATCCCTCTTTCGGGAGCTGCAAATGAACAGAAAAACAAAAGAGCAAAAAAAGAAGCTTCTAGTACAAAAGATGTTTTCATATTCCAGCGAATTAATTTAACTAGATTTAAGAATAGTGGAGTTTCACTTTTGTTCACAAAAATACATTTTAAATGAACTCCATTCTAAAAGTAGGCGAATTTTTTTTTTACTTGCGTATTTTTCTCAGGGTTTTTGCATGTCTCAGACTGTAAGCGATTGAGGGTAATACCCAACCAGTGTTATCATTTAAGCAAAATTTTGGATGAATACAAAAGTGGTTTGTTTTTCTAACTATACAAAAGAAATCCAGATGTTTCACAGGTGCTATTGCATTAATAGGTTGCATTATAAAATCGTCGAAATCGTTAACAAAAAGCAGCAGAAATTCTGTAAAAATCCAGATTCCTGTGGAATAGTGCGTATACACAGCGACACTTGTTAAATCCTAATTGTTAAATTTGATTGCCTTACAAATGCGCCTCAGTGTTTTTTTTAAGTGAGTGTAATGGAAATGTATATAACATTCGTGAATGGGTTTCTTATTGCAAAATATTATTATTAGTTTTATTAATTTAACTACACACAAACCATGAGATGCTCTTACACGGAAACGGAAACAAGTTTTTTTTCTAAAAAAAAATGATATTCGTGTTCACTCACTTTTGTTCCACAATTTTTAATGCAATCTGCAATTGAGATTTCTGCCCAACTTCGGAACTCGCCTTCGGATCCTTTCCCCCCCTTGAAAAAGTGCTTTTTGAAAAGCGTGTAAGCGAACGTTTGTCCTGAACGTTTTAACTTCAAATTCGAAATCATTTCAAATGGCGAGAAACGTGGCATTTTGCTGCCACATTTCTAGCCATTGATGATCTCTAGTTTGTCATAGTCTGGCCGCCACTATTCAGAAGATATGTCCTCAAAGCTCCTCTCTTTCTCCATTGGAAACACTGTGCAAATTGCTGGTCTGAAATGTAACGCAGATAGAATTCCATCGCTCTGCACGTGTGTTTGTTTGTGGTGTGTCTACAACTTAACATACATATTCTCAAATATATTGTCTTATCCCTGGTGACATATTCAACTCTTCACACTTGTGTGCGTTCGACTGTTGCAGAGAGATGTGGAGAAAATGAGAGAATGGATTTGTGTGTATTTGTTCGCAGTGTTGCATTGCAGGAGATAAACAAGACAGAGACAGGGAGAAATGTGCCTTCCCTAAATTCAAGAGAAGCTATAATATCGAGATATATTATGTTTTGTAACAGATATCATACATGTGATACGGAAAGGATACTCAGGGTGAGAAAATACACCTAGTTTCTCAGCATTTTCGTTTGGCTAAAATGTTAATGAATGATCCGCAATTTCCTCGGCTGTGTTAATGGCAATGTGCAGCTCCCATGGAAACTATTGGTGGTAATCGCATAAGAGCTTGCTTACTGCTTTCAGATTAATATATCCCTGCACTTGAATTGTACTGACCTTTACAAAAAAAAATTGATTTTGATTTTACACTGGAAGCACTAACAAAGAGGCACATGGGATTATTTCCATCGTGAAACCCGTTTTTAATCCCTGTTTTTTGCAGCTCAACTTGAAACATGAACGGCTTCGGTTTAGAAGCAGAGTTGAAACAAAAATTGTCATCGAACATTAGCGCTCAGAAATCTATTCTTTCTTACAAAACAAGTAAATGATGTTGAACCAAAATAGATAAAGTAAGCATTCGCTGCCGTTCGTAAAGTATTGCGAAAAGGAATTTATATTTCAAAAGGTCTTGTGTAATAGTCTCGCTTCCTTTCGATTAAATATTTTCGTTGTTTGTATATATAGAGAGAAATATATATATATTCTGGCCCCAGTTCTAAGCGACTCTAACACGCATTCTCCCCTGCGTTTATCGCCTTTTTGGGTGAATAAAAAAGGGGGAAAAACGATTTTATTGGATTTTTCTCCAGGAAGTTTTCAGATAATGGTCTTGCTTACAGCCTTTTATCTAGAAGCTAGGGGAGAGAAAAGCTTCCGGAAGAGGAGCTCGGTATTTATAACCCTGTTTATCCCATTGCTGTGGATGAGACGGCAATAGACAGAAAGAACCAGAAGGACAGGCTAGACGTCTGCCTGTAATTACTTTATGGTTTAATGAACGTGAGCACGCTGGCCTCTGAAACTCGATTATTTCTCGTGTTTTGTCTGCAAGCTGGAAACGCAGAGGCTCCAATGTGGCGAAAGAGATCAAAAGAACCCAGAGAGAGAGAGGGAGAGAGAGAGAAAAATATATATATATATATATATTACTCGACTCACACGGCAATGTGCATTGGAAAAAAAAAGGGCAGCTCGGATTCGTGTAAATATGCGCCCCCATTTGTGTCATACATGTGGAGCGTGTAAGCCGTGTTGTGTGTTCACATGCGTTCGTGACATTGCAGAGAAAATAGGTCCCGAAGGCGTGTGCATCCCAGAAACGGACGCTAGGTGGCAATCTTGCTCAAAAGTAAAGCGGTTTCACTCGCCTGATGGCCCAAATCCTGGCATTATTTGGAGGCCCCATAAAGAGTGGGCTCTTGTTTTCACGAGGAAAGAAACATATTAGAGTCGTGCAACTTACCAATATACTAAATCAATCTTTAGCGAAACAAGGAGAGTAGTCTTTCGGGTCTTTTTTTTCAACACTGACTACTTTTTAGAGGACTGAATTGCAACAGGACCGACTGACGCGTTTTAAAATACTGTCCACCCATTCTATTCAAGCAAATACAATTTTTAAATGGGGTTAAAAATGCGTTTTATTTTATAACATTTAGATTCGACATGAGGAAAAGTTTACAGACTGGTGAATCGCAACATGACCCGTCGCATTTTATTTGTATGTCTTAACTTTCCTTAAAAAATAAAACACAGAAAGACAACATTTTGACAAGCAAATCTGCACAATTTTAGCCACACACAGTTTGCTCGCAAACGAATTCGATTTAAGTAGCAATTAAAGAGGAAACACACAACGTCACAATTTGTCCCATGCTCTCGGATACACTTGGAAACGAAGCTTTGCTTATTTTTACGATGCAAAAAAAAAAAGTTTTTACAAGCGACGGGCATAAATCTTTGGACACATTTATGATCAGGACCTTGGCAAAAGACACTGCTGTACAAGCAATATTAATCTACTAGAAAGAATCATAAATATATTTATAAATAATTTCGTGATAATGATACAAGTGTCAGGTCAGGAAGTGTAAACTCATGTTAGGAGGAATCCGCGCTGGGGAACTCGCTAGTCTTAAAATTTTATTGTGATTTTTATTACAACTGTAAATGTTAAGATTGTGAAACATAAATAGATGAGACATTTATGGAGCCCACATTTAATTTTATACGGTTCATGGGAACTTTTCTGTTTGATTTTCGTTGACATTGTAAGCTATGTGTTCCTTTGATAAGGATGTGAAGTGCTCAACGCAATGAAATGGGAACAGGATACATGATATATAATTACGCGTTTTATTATTTAAAAATATAATAATAGCCTTCCGGTTTTAATTAACGCAATTAGACTTTAAAATCCAGTGGATTGCGAGGTTAGATGTAGTTTTGGAGTTTCTCTTAAGGTATCTGTAAGGATTTAAGACGCGAAGACATTGCCAGGATCGACTTGATTATCGATTGCAAAAGCATCAGTCTTGTCGGTAATTCAAGACGAAAATGAAAAGCCGTTTCCGTTAACAGCGAGCAATTTATTTATATTTTCACAGATAAAACAAAATGCTTTTAAGTGTTGCTTAATTAGGAGTGAAATGAGAGGCGCGGGGTCGTGCGCTTGGGGTGGATTTAGTTCATTCATTTCGTTTAGTATTCAGAACGCCAATAAGCAAACAAAAAACAATTATTTTAAAATCAGAATATACTTTTGGTTAACAACAAAAAGTTAAATAATAAGATCCACTTTGGTGCTGTAATTACAATCCTATATACACAGCCATTTGGCGTTTTACGATTTCAACTGAACTTAGGTAGGTTTTGGACTCTCAACCGATATTTATCGACCGAGGTATATAATGTACCCTAGGACTCTTTTTTGCGTGAATCCTGAAAATTCCTGACTTTAAAAATAGCCATTTTCTTTTACCTTGTTGATTTTTGGCTCAGTAATTGGCGAGATGCTTTGTTTTTCTCAACATTTTTTTTTGTGAGTGCAGAATGACTGCCGTCTTAGAGTTTCCTTGGCATTGGGTAAATATTCTGAATCCTTTCAAACTACCCTGAATTCACAACACATTATATAAGTACCTTTTTTTTAAAAAAAGAAAGTAAAAGCCACAATTTAAAAGCCCGACTCTGCACTTTCACTAATCTCTAATAAACATATTAGCACAGATACAGACACATAAACACATACACATACTCACACACTGACTATTCCCTGACGCCTCACTAATAAAACCAGTCCAGTTCAATATTCGATTTTGACTTTTTCTTTGGTTTGTCGAAGTTTCACAAATGAACTTTTTTTTATATATATGTTCAAAAAGTCAACATCGCTTTGTGTTTGGGAAAAGAAGGTGAGCCGCCTCACATCATGGGGAGTTCATGTGGAATTGCGCTAGACACTAACACACCATTATCAAGGTTCTAACTGCTAACTTACATTATTTTATTTTACTAGAATTTTTTAGTTGTGTGGGTTTATTTGGGGAGGGGTTATTTCATTGCTGGTCGTGTAGCTCCTACGTATGTATTATTTTTAAAAAAGTACTCATTGGTGGAATGGGATGGAATGATATTGAAACGAATAACAATTTCACTTGATTTTAATACACTTTTCTTTGCCACTTTGCAATGTGCCAAGACCGGATTAGGAATTTCACGCAATGACACAGACCAGGAAGAGTGTGATACTGAATTCGGATCGTGTTCCAGAGAGAAACTGCATCCATAGGGTGGAACAGAAATAGTACATTGGCATGTTATGTTTGTGTGCATTTACACGGGGACATAGTGAATCTGACTGCTTCATTGCTATGTACAAGACCAATGGCATTTACCCATGTATCGCAAAAGCCGTGTCCATACCAGCACTGAATATATTTAAGCAAATATTGCACCAAACGTGTTGTGATGCTTCCATTATTTTAATCCGAAACCTTTTTTTGAGTCATCCAGGTTGAGTTCCTTGTGGAAATAGTAATTTTAAAACATTGCAAATGGCTGACCTGGTAAATAAGACTAACCGAATTGATTCGGAAATCATAAAATGAAAACTTTAGTCCCCAGTCTGCGGCCTAGACAGTCATAAAGCCCTTTGACACCCAATGTTCGGAATGTCTTATTCACTCGTGTTCCAGTCGCTACCTGCATTTTGTTTCCTTTTAAGGCCAAATAAATCCAATTAATTTTAACCTAGCACTATATCAGTTCTCCCTCGCGTGATTTACGTGTTAAAGCTACTTAGCAAGATATGCTTATAGTTAAATTAGCCTTCGTTTGTCTCCTCCCTGCAAACCCGCTTCCTGATTTCTTGCACCTGGGTCTGATTTTGACAATCTCTATCTTTTTTTGTATGGTGAAATAAAATAAAATTGAAAGAAACTCGCAATTAACCGTCAATTTTCTTGACTTGTTCCCAACTGGGAGTGCATACGTTGTGTGAATATGACGCAATAGACATTTGTTAGATGACGCGTCTTTAAGTTACCATAATATACCTTTTTTTTGAAAAAAAAGTCTAATCGTCTTCAAATTTATTACTCTTGTACTCCCCCCTCCCCCTTTCTCATTTTGTATTTCCATCCAGACTCACCTCCTCTTGCCCCATATTGTTACCTGTGTGAAGGTAACCTCGACTCACCCCTCACGGCGCATGTATTTAAACCGTGAAGAGGCTTTATTTATTTCAAATAAAGAGGAGGGCAAACGATATTAATCCGCACCTTCCATTTCTTCCATCATCTTGAGTTTTTGCAGCAGTCTTTACGTCCACATACCTCCCCTCAATACCCCTTATTCCAAGTCATTGCTACACAGCACAGCCTTCCGTCTTCAGGATTCAGGATTGATGACTATAAATTGCCTCACCGCCGGGATTTTTGGAGCTCTCGCTGGTGGTGTTTAAGGAGAAAGCCAGTGACAGGCAGAGTAAGAGCTCTACCTACCGACCAACAGTGTAGAACACACGAGTGCTTTTGCCCAGACACACATACCGACACAATGATCCTGCTCTGAAAACGCTACAAAACCGGGGTTTTTTTTGCAGAGCGCCAGTCTCCAGGTGTCTTTCCCCCACTTGCAAAACCTCCAACGCCTTGTGAGTGAGGTTTTTTTTCCCCCCCGAGTGATGAGTTCCTATTTTGTCAATCCTCTCTTCTCCAAATACAAAACCGGCGAATCCTTGGACCCAACTTCCTACTATGACTGCAGATTCCCTCAGAGCGTCGGCAGGAGTCACGCGTTAGTATACGGACCAGGCAGCGGCGGGCCTGGGTTTCAGCACCCTTCACATGTCCAAGAATTTTTCCACCATGGAACTTCGTCCCTTTCCACCTCCGGATATCAGCAAAGCCCGTGCGGATTGACGTGCCACGGGGACGCCTCTAAATTTTATGGATACGAACCTATGCCGAGGCAGTCGCTTTATGGTACCCAGCAAGAGGCGAGCATGGTGCAATATCCTGACTGTAAATCCTCCTCCGGCAGTAACACTGGCGAGGCACAAGGCCACTTAAATCAAAATTCGTCTCCTAATCTAATGTTCCCCTGGATGAGACCGCACGGTTAGAGCTTTTTATTTCCACTTTCTCCCCCCCCCCCCCCCCACTACCCTTCCCTCTTGTGTGATTGCATTAATAGGGGGAAAAAGTTATTTTTTAAAATTAATATTCTTAATTGATATGTATTCAACCAATACAATATATTTGCATGATGATTTGAATTCGATAGCTATCTATGCAGCTGTATGTATATATGTATATATGCAAGTTGTTGTTATTTATAATCTATATATACATTGGATATAATATATGTTTAAAAAGCAATTATTTGCATGTTAATTGCATGCCCATAATATTCCTTTGCATGAGAGCTGTTAGGGAAATTGTATCTGTTTGGGCTCATATAGTATTAAACTTAATGGCTCTGATTAGGTGGCTGTTAAATGGTTGGTTTTCTCCTTAGCGCCAGGAAGACGGAGCGGCAGACAAACCTACAGTCGCTTCCAAACGCTGGAGCTGGAGAAAGAATTCCTTTTCAACCCCTATCTGACGCGGAAGCGTCGGATCGAGGTCTCACACGCTCTCGGACTGACAGAAAGGCAGGTCAAAATTTGGTTCCAGAACCGCAGGATGAAATGGAAAAAAGAAAACAACAAAGATAAATTCCCGAGCGCCAGGGACGAGAAGAGCGAGGAACCGGCCAACGAGGAAGAGGAGAAGGAAGAAAAAGAAGAGGTGGAAGAGGAGACACCGAAGGAATAACAGACAGTTGTATTTGTTAAGAAACATTAATGCTAGATTTCTGTTTACAATTGAGTTATAGCATGGACTCCCATCTCTTTATTAATCTATCTAAGTTATCTCAAAGTATATGCGCCTCGGTTATACTTTGCTTATAATTTTATATTCCAATTTGAATTTCTTGCCCTTTTTTTTCCTGTCTCTTAACTTATTTGTGCCCGTCCTTCACTATTGTCGCTTTGAACTACCTATGGAGCCAGCGCAGTAAAGCCTCAATCAGCCCCCGGGGATCCACATACAAATCGATAATAGTGTTACAATTCGCTGGACACTGTCGCTTCCCTTAGAATTCTTTAATGATTAGTATTTCTCCTGACTGGCTGAAAGCTACTGAGTAGCGGGACACACTATTTTTTTAGAAAAAAATAAAAGCTGATTACACTACCTAAAAGTGCTGTGATAAGTACACAGCATGTTAAACCATTTTGCTTAATGCTGCTTCTCTCTCTCTCTCTTTCTCTCTCTCTCTCTCTCTCTTCACTTCCAAACATGCTCCCAACAACTAAAACTGCCTATAACGACAATGCACAGTATTGTGAAAAACATATCATTAAAAAATATGACATAGTTTAGGTATTAAGTGCACTGATATATGTCTTGGTAATTGTTGTCGCAACATGCTCGAACTTCGTAAGTTGTTTTATGTAAACATAGTTCTGCGTGTGTAAAAAAAAACAGTATGAATGTAAAAGGGGATTGTTGTGATGAACGACCCGCATCAAGCAACAGTCTCTTTGTATTGTGTATGTGATATGTGCAAAAGTGAATGTGATAACGGTAAAGTGAATAAAGGTTGGTTTTCAAAAGGATTAAATTGCCTATTAACATGTCACAGTATAACTTTTCACCGGCACAAATGAAAATGTCAATTACTTTCCCTTCCCTCGTGAATGACACAGACATCTCCCGATGGCTTGTAATGATAAAATATTTAAATACTTTTGTGAGGCTTTTTTTTTGGAAAAGCGGTACTTGGTGTCACCAATTATGCGCCTGGTGCAACAGAACCAACATCACTCCTCTCACATAATTCCTTTTGGAATATTTTTGTCAAAAAAAGTTCATTTGAATATTTAAAGAATAGAGTGATAGCTCGAGAAGATTAAGATCATACGAGAAGAACCTATGAACACCACCTGAGAAGGTGAGATTGGGGAAGGGAAATTATATTGTGTTTCTACATATTTAAATATTTCTAAATAAATGAGACACACAGAAAGGACAATAAATATATACAACAACGTGAAACATCCCATTGCAATACATTCTTGTTATATCATCAACAATATAACTTCATGATCACCAAATCTATGTATACAGTCTTATTGTTATTCAGTATCAATAATCAATCCACACAATTGATTGAAAGAGGAAGAGTGAGCTGTAAAGTGATTTTTGAGGGGAAACGTGAAATAACACTTTGTAAAGTAAAGTCATTATCCAAATAGTATTGGGGGTATTTACGATCGGGGGGAATATGGTGCCAATTGTGTTTTAGTGTCTTGAAAAGTGCAACAGAAGGGATTGTTAATGGTACCGAATTCAACAGATTACATTCACTGTGTATAATAACTGCACTCAAATAACTTTAAACTCTTAACGTGCATGGGGGGATAGCGTTACAGTGCGTCTAACGGGAACTAAATGTACTTATGTTAGATTTCTATAACCTTTGTGTAAAAAGACCCAATAAAAGCCCATAAATGGAGGCCGCCTCAGTCTGTGTAACAGTCCAGGGGTCCGTTAGTCTGTGATAAAGACCAAAGGAGTAGATACTGAAAGGGATTCGTGTTTAATCCAATGCTATTCTGTTTGTCTTGCTCCAACCTGGGTCAGTATAAGCTTATGTAATATATATTACATCAATGGTCCATGTGCTGGATATTACATTGGAATTAGGGCAGGAATTTAGCTAAAAAACAGCAATAATCTCCAAGGGGGGACCTCGCCAAGTCACATCCTGTATATTTGTTTTTAGAAACGGACCTTTTTTTTTATTTTGAGACTCAAAGGAAACAACAGCACAAGTCCTTTCTGACCTCACCCCGCAGAAACCCGCCGGGTTAGCTTCATGTCTCAACCCCATTAACAGCAGCGGTGAAAGTTGTGATCCCGTCGTCTCTCTGAGGAGAACGTTTCTGCTTCAGGGGTAGGAGTTTCATCACAGCGAAGAGTGAAGGCAAATATTGGATTAGAAAAGACACTCCCTAAAAAAAGATTACTCGGAAACATTTGTTTAAAAAATTCTCATCACCCTGCATAACCTTTCATTCAATTTCCGAAACACATTTAACAATAACAATTTAACCCAGTGAGCTTAATCCGGTGGAGACGAGTTAAATTGTTATTTAAAAATATGAAATGTCCCCATTTCCTTGGAATTGAATTGAGCGATATATCCATGCCTTTTTTCAATAATAATAATAAAAAAGATGAAATCACTTTATCATTTTATTTTCATTCCAATACATCTCTGTGAAAAGGGCGGGAGCAATCCGGAAGTGCTCCATTGTCCTGAAGGGAAAATAAACTTTAATAGTAGGGTTGATGATGATTTATTTGCGCAGAGAAAAAAAAACTTGAAAGATTTTTCTTAAAAGAGAACTAAAAGTTACACCGAACCGTCATGTTACCAAGTAACATGGTACCAAGATAAAGAGAATATTTTATTAAAAATAACTTGTATCAAAATATATTCTAAACTTTATCCATGTCCTTTCAACGGGGGTAAAGCGTCCAAAGTGCAATACCGGTCAAATCCCAATTTATTGATAAACCAATCCTATCGGTAGCCCAAATAAAACTTAACTGGAACCAATATAAAATACTTGCAAATTCTTCTAAGGCGAATTGAGTACAACAGGACAAAAGAGGAATGTTTATTTAATCGGAGAGACAAAGAAATGTATACACACAAACAAAGGTGTTTGGCTTGTGTGTGTGTGTGTAATGTGTGTGTAAATGTCTGGCTTCCCTTGATCAGAAATATACCTTGGTATTTCTTTTCCCAGTTCAGTCCCCGGTGATAAATTGTTCCAGGTTCCTTTTTTTGTAGTTGTGCGTGTGTGTGTGTGTCTGTTTTGTTTATGTCGATGGTAACGATAAGACCAGAATAAGACAGAGTCCCGCTTCAGTGCCAAATCTAATTGTTAAAGCCGCCCATTTTCGAGTGTTTTGAAGTTGCCAACGTTTTTTCTTAATCCACCGAATCTGTCCTTGATATATCAAACTGCAAAAACGAGTCACTGTAGATTGTTTCTGTTTACCTTAGTCTAACCTGCTGAAGTGGGGAATCCTGTTCAGTGACTACATCGTGCTCTATCACCAGCAAAGTTCATTCACAGTAAGTGCCGAGAAAAACAAAGTGTTTGTATCAAAAATGCATCTATTCCTAGTTAACCTTTAAGGTGGAGTTCGCACTTCAAGGCAAATAAAATCTCAGCAGCGCTTCATGTCTGGACTCTTGCGGGGCATGTTTTTGGGGTGGCTCGGTGTAAGAGAGGTTGGATGAAGAGAAGACCATCTGGACAAATGGTTACCACAAGTTTTTTTTTCCTGTTGTCTGGTTCAATTATCCAGGGAAGCCACTTGGAATTGTCTGCATTGTTGATTAACTTGGGAATTTGGGACGGCGAGACAGCGACCCATTTTCAGCCTTGTTTTCCGTTGTATCCGAGGAACACTCCTTAATTTCGCTTGGATCTCAGCAGCTAAACAGCTGAACGTAACTGACTGAATTAAACCTAATACATGGATCTATTTGAAACTTTAGGTCGGCGTGAAGACTTCGCAAAATTTAAAAAAATGAAAACAAAAGGCTTTTTTATTTGGGGAAACCAACCCAAAATATTTATGCGGAACTACTTACAGGAAAAAAATATCAGTGATGCTGTTTCACCAATATCGTTCACAAATAGGTTTTCATGTAGTGAGGCGGCGCTTTGCTTTATTCGGTTGTTGAAAACTCGCAGGGAAAATGTAAGAGTTTGTACCATTTTCTGAATTATCCATTTACAAAAGTTTATTCTAAACAACCTAACTTTATTATGCGAGTAAACTGAATCTTCTTATGCGTGTGATACGAGAGAGGAGTCAATCCAATATCATGAAATTGAAACAACAGTCCAATACGAAAAAATAGCATTCAAGAAATGTTCATAGAATAACCATTTATTCTATCTGTTAATAATAGTTTGGGACACTGTTTTCTCAAACAGGCCAACATTGTAAATTAGTAGGGCGATGCACTGACCGCAATTGTTTAATTGTACCTTAATAGACAGGAATGTATAAGTGTGGAGGGCCATATATTTAATGCAGTAAACAGAGTGTCAGACCAACTTATAATGCCTTGTATCCATAACGCGAGGCGAGTAAATCCATCGTTTGGACAGGGAGAAATATTTTATTCATAATATGAAACAGAATTTGCAAAAAAAAATAGATTTGTGAATCAGAGCTGAGACGTGTCACAGCCGAAAGACAATCGCGTTTATTTGAGTACATTTGAAGCTGTTTCTGTAATGTAGCAGTGATTGTCTGTAACAATACAGAACAACTGTTCACCTTACCTGATGTTTAGACTGTTTAACGCTAATACTTGATGTGATGATTTGCAATGAAGAGGTTGTGAAATGTGCATAGGTAGAAAAATTGGACAAGTTTGAAGGAGCTTTATGTAAAGGAGGGAATGAATCAAGTGGGTTACAGGTGCAAAAATCGTAGGGCGAAATATGTAGCGGCCAAAAGCCACCAATTTGAAGTGGGAACATTGCAATGCGGACCCATTGCGTCTTTTCTGAAACATTTTATTTTAAACACCACCTCGAAAAGTATCCGATTCCAAATGCTAACAACAATTAATATGATTGCATATGTGTATTTGTTTCATGTAATCTTTTCCATCTCACAAAGAGCTATTCCGACTGCACTAACCGTTTCAAACAAAAGTCTGAATCCTGGTTTATCCCTTTCTAATATGTTTTTATAATCTGTGTATCTGATGATATATTAATTTTATATCTATATAAAACTGAATCTGATATTTAGAGAATGTTGGATATTAGGATATTCAGCAAGTGAGCCGTGTATCAATATCTATCTATCTATCTATCTATCTATCTATCTATCTATCTATCTATCTATCTATCTATCTATCTATCTATCTATCTATCTATCTATCTATCTATCTATCTATCTATCTATCTATCTATCTATCTATCTATCTATCTATCTATCTATCTATCTATCTACACTGACTAACTATTTAGTAATATACTTTTCATAAACTGCACGCTAACATTTAGATATTTTCGCAAATCCCAGTAAAAAACACAATGCAGGTAAATCATATGTGTCATTTTCTTTAGTTAAAACAATATTGCTCTCTTCGCACTCTTCCTATTTTTAATGCGTTAAAATAACTACCGTTTCCCGGAAGCTCGGGTGAACTTCCCTTCAAACGTTTACCAGCAAACAGGCGACTGAGCATCAAAATAATTAGCCACAGTTGTGGAGCATTAGATTGCTGATGAAAGAATCATTTAGTTATGTGTATGTGTGTGTTAAGATTGTTTAACGACAGAGACACAAAAAGACCTGTTGAGTCTGTGCGAGCAACAGCGTCTCTCTCTCTCTCTCTCTCTTTCTCGCTCTCTCGGGAAGTCTTATTAGGCTGATAATTGTTTCACCTCCCGGTATTAAAGAAGGGAGTCAGTCGCCTCCAAGTCCCACCCGCTCTCGGCAAAGAATGAAATGAGGAGAAGGGGGTTTTAAAATAAGGAAGGGCCCTCAACATGGCGACAGTGCAGTACATTTGCACACGCCACAAAAAATGCATTACATTCCAGGTTGTTTGGGAGAAAATTTACAGCTTTAGCAATAAAACTTTACGACTCGTTCAGAACTTCCATTGGCCGATACGGATCATGTGGAC